CCTGCCTTCCTACCTCTCAGCCTTTTCCCAGCCCTAACGATCCCAACGATCCCAACGATCCCAACAGCCCTCCCGAATCCCCTATCCCCTGACCCCTGTTCCCTGTCCCGTATCCGTATCCATCTCTCTCCCCGTCAAGTTCCCGTCGAAAGGACAATCCTGAACGACAGTGACGCCTTCCTCCTACATTAACCCTTCTTCGAGTCCTTTTTTTTCACTTTAGCTCCTTAGCTCCGACCTTGTAAAATCAGCCACAATGACTCGCTATGTGCGTAATCTATTAGCTAACGATTAGCCTACAGCTGACTGTCGGAACCGTCAGGGTCACGTGGCTTTTCAAATAAACACGTGAAACGCACTCTTTGACTCATTCTCAGTGACAATCTCACGGGTGATTATCGTGTCGCCTATGCAAATGTTAACTGTAAGATCTGTCAGACAGTGTCGCCTCTTGGGCCACGTGACCTGGCCAGTTGACGTTAGCGAAAGGTCGCAGCACGTTACTCAGTTATATCATTTTGAAGGAGAAAAAGAAGGAGGAAACGGAAATTAAAGAGAGAGAGCAAAGAGATTTCGAAGGCAACCGAGCTGTTCTGCGTTTGGCGTTGACGGCACGTCGTCACCCGGAATCAAGGCAGGAACTCGTCGAGGAGAGTGACGGCCCGCGGGCAACAGCCTCCATAATCCGTTCCCACAGACAAAAGAAGTTCGTGGCCCGTCGCCCCCGATCTTCCTCGACTACCACGAGCTCCTCTCACCCTGGTAATAAGGATGTAACCCGAGCCGAACCGCTCGGACATCGAGACTCGGAGACCGAAGATACTTGAAGACTTTAAGAGACACGATTGTCCCGCGATCTTCTAGCCGATCCGACTCGTTCGACTCGTTCGACTCGTTCGATTTGTTCCAACCTCCGATTTTCCAGGAACTGCGCCCCTCGAACCACAAACATGCAGGAGATGCCGATCCTTCTCGCAATCGCAGGATCCTCCGACGATCCATTGTGGCTTTATCAGCTGATACCTCCCATACTATCTCTCTCTGTCTCTCTCTCTCTCTCTCTGCGTCTCACTTTTTTTTTTTTTTTTTTTTTGAATCTTGTTGGTCGAGTCGCTTTCCCAGAGACTCCGCACAGGACACAACAAATCCATTGTCCCCTGGATTGAGAATCGATGGCCCTGCCTCTGGTCTGCGCCAGTCCTAGAGAGAGAAACAAATAGATGGGTGGATAGAGAGAGAGAGAGAGAGAGAGAGAGAGAGAGAAAGGCCAGCGATCACATTTAACATAAATTTTGATGATTGTGTTCTTGTGATTCCCAATAGTAGCGATGGTAGCGATGGTAATGATGGCAATGATGGTAGCTATAATGGTCCTCGGACGAAGGTGCCTCGAGTTTCGGCGAGGAAGGGAGAGAGAGCGCGAAGGAGAGAACGAGTGAGGCGTGAGATAGGTCATCCAGACTGGCAGGGATCGCATCTCCAAGCTAGGCCCTCTAGAGAGCTCCACAAACACTCGAAATCGTGCTTCTTCTTACGCGCCCCATTGTTGCTGCATCATCTTGAAGGCAAACTACCCGTTCTACCCGTTCGCAGCTATTGTGGCTACCATTTCAAGTAGCACAGTGCCAAAGCACCAAAGCACCATAGCTTTGGCAAAGCACCATAGCGCCAGGGCGTTGTCCTATCGGAATGGAAGACAGACTACGGGAAACTTCTTCGCGCCATTTCTACGTCTCTGTATTTCGATTCTGGACCTCTAACAAGTTCGCCACGCAGAGCCTCCTTCTTCTCCGATGCCAGTCGCAAACGTCTTTGCTCACAAAGAGAAGGACCGATCAGCTGATTGTACGTCTCGCCGGAATCTCAGTGAATGGAAGACGATGGGGTCGAATCTTCGGCGCTTGGCATTTGACTTGGCAGCAGGCCGCTGGAGTTGGACCTCAAAGAGGGAGAAAACGAGGACGATCAAACAAGAAGAGTAAAATAAAGGCCAGCGGGAGGATCGAGGCCAGAGAGATGAAGGAGAAGCAGGCGAAGAGAAGGAAGAGGAGGAGGAGAAGGAGGAGGAAGGAAAGAAGAGAGGCCGCGGGGGCGGGGCCGGTGCCGGAGCCCCGGATCTGTGGATGCTGGGATCGAGGATCGAGGATGGAAGATGGAGCCCATTCTCGTTCCCCATGTTCCCTGATCCCGTGCGACTTCGCAGCCAACCCCCATCGGCCCCGACTGCTTCACTGCCCCACCTTCTTCTCTTGACCTTCTCACCCTCCATTTCTCTCTCTTCCTCTTCTTCCTCTTCTTCTTCTTCTTCCTCTTCTCGTCGATTCGACCGGCAGAGCCGAAATAGAGCTACAGAAGGCAGCGCCACGGGGGAAGAATTGGCAAAGAGTCAATGTTTTTGGGTAATTTGCAATGGCGCTCGTTACGAATCGAGGACGGGCCTATACCAGCTGTTCTCTCAGAGAAATAAGAGCCGAAGCGAGCCGAGAAGAGCCGAGAAGAGCCGAGAAGAGCCGAGAGGAGATGCATTTTACGTACACTTGCCCGCCTTACGGTGCCTTTCTTCCGTAATGGATTACACACTGGGCCATTTTTCACTCGAAATGGATTTTCATAAGGCGGACACGCATTCTTGGCTTTAGCCAACTTTTTTCGCCTCCGCCAAATGTTTGTAAATAGATGTAAAGTTTGGGAGGGGCCAGAGGTACCCTGCTGTGCGAACAGGACGCCCCATAGCGCACTTGGACCAGCCAGCTCGCTCACCATTCTTCCCTTTCTTTATATTTATGCTTTTATCTTTTATTCCCTCGTCTTCGTCCATTATTCCCCCTCTCTCTCTCTCTCTCTCTCTCTCTTTCTCTCACCACAAGGAGCAGAGCGAGTCCTCTCAAAGTCTCTGCGGAGTATGCGCGGCGCTGGTGCAGTGGCGTCGGCGCCCTTAACAGTCCCGGTAACAGACCTGCTGGCTATCGGCTCAATAGGTTCAACAGCGTGGCCTCAGGAGGTGAAGTCGATCGCCTCACTCGAACCTCCAGTCGAAGTTATCCAGTCTGCTGGATGATCTTAGATTCTCCCTCATAAATACTCGAGCAAACGAATCGCACTCGAGGGAATTAGGACTCGCATTGAGACCGGGGGGACTCGGGGGACTCCCTGAGGATGGTACCGTGACCTGCGTGTCGCAGCTCCTCCTCGACTAATCGCTGTCCCTGGCTAACCCATTCATGAGCAACCGCACCCCTGGCTCCCTAATGGGACCCGTTTGTACTACGAAAGACATCCGACCGTCCAGTCCAATGGACGGGCTTTCTGATTCGCGCATACAAACGCTATCCAGCATTGGCAGTATTGGCAGCATTGGCAGCATTAACGTCGTTACTAACATTGCTACCACGCTACCACGCTACCACCCTACGACCGTTGGTGGCATTAGGAGGAGCACAGTCGGCAGCATGAGAAAGCATTGCTCCTGCAAACTCTGATTATTTGGCATCCCCAAGAGGATTCGACAGTCGAGCGCGCATTGAAAAGGTTCGCTTCCCACCTCCTGTTCGCCACGACACATTCAATAGAAGCTAATTGCCAGCCGGCGTGCCACTGCCGAATACCGTCAAGCCCCCAGTAAACGGACCGAACCGCCTTTCGAATTCTTCAAATTCTTTGATTTCGTCGATTCGTTTGCTGCTGCTGTCTCGAAAACAGTTTAGTAGATGAAAAGGAGAGAGGAGAGAAAGGAGAGCGCAATCTCTCCGGTAGGCTCAGTGCCAGGTCCTCCTGACTCTCCGACTTTCAAGTCAAAGACCTTTTGTCCATCGCCGTCTCTGGTCAAAGGAGCGATTATCCACGAGCGAGTGGAAATCTGAATATCGGAGATGCTCCTATCGTGAGCATAAAGCTCGGCTCAAGGTGAGAACCACACTGAGTAGAAGAGCCAACAATGCGTCGGCGAAGGAGGAGCTGCAGGTTTGCGTCTCGCGGCCGGATGCGCGTTTCGGATTAACGCGGAGCCAAAGTCAAAGTAAGGACCAGAATAAAAAGCACAGTTAGGCCTGCGGTTGGTTGGGAATTGGCTTCTCGCTCTTAAAATCCATTCGCCCTTCGCCCTTCGCCCTTCGCCCTTCGCCCTTACTTTTGGCATTGGCTCTGGGCTTGGATTTTCTCAGGGTCGCGGTACGAAATCCAGTGACGGAACAAGGAGCTCGGCTGTTGGCGCTGCAGGTAGTCTCTCCAAAGAAGCAAAATATTTGGTCGATCGGCGTGACTGACTCTCGCTCTCCTTCTCTCTTCCGTCGGGCTTGACTTACGTGTCTCATGCACTTAGACTATTCTGTTTGGCTCTCGATTCGCCACGGCGCACCTTAAGTCCATTTCTAAGTTCATAAGTCCGTCCCCGTCCATCCGTCCGTCCGTCCGTCACTCTAGTCCAAACATACATTTATTTCTCGCTCGGATGGTCTTTACCTGAAAGAGGCACCACCTTCGTCAGGCAGACACACCAAATCTCGCGCCGCTCTCCCGCGCTCTTCTTTCTCACTCGCTCTCTCGCTCTCCTTCTCAATCTCTCCTCCTTATTCCTTCTCTCGCACACGAACCAACGAGCTCACGAACGAGTTGGCGAACGAGCAAAGGGGAAATAAGGAAAGCGAACTGACAATGAATGGAGGAAAGAAGGAAGGCCGTGAAAACGGAAGGACGGAAGGAAGGAATAAGCGAAAAAAGAAGGAATTAAAGGAAATGAGAGAAAAAGAGATGCGAAGGACGCAATTAGAAGAGAGAGAGAGAGAGAGAGAGAGAGAGGGGGGGGGAGCGAGAGGTGTAAATAGTAAAGATAGTTTAAAAAGAGACGAGGGGAAAGAGAAGGAAGGAAGGAAGGAAGGAAGGAAGGAAGAAAGGAAAGGAAGAAAGGAATGGAAAAAGGAGGAAGGAAGGAAGGAAAGAAGGAAGGAAAGACCCATGATGTCCCTTCGACTAACGTGCGATCGAAATGCTCTCGTCTGTTGCAGAGGTGTAAGGAGAAGCTGAACACCCTGGCGATCTCGGTGATGAACCAATGGCCGGGGGTGAAGTTGCGCGTGACGGAGGGCTGGGACGAGGAGGGGAAGCACGCGACGGATTCGCTTCATTACGAAGGCAGAGCCGTCGATGTGACGACAAGCGATCGGGACCGTTCCAAATACGGGATGCTGGCGAGGCTGGCCGTGGAGGCAGGATTCGACTGGGTCTACTACGAATCTCGATCTCACATACACTGCTCCGTCAAGTCCGGTTAGTATCGAGTTCGATAGCTTCGCGAACTATCCTTTACACGTCATCCATCCACTAGCACCATTATGATTATCCGTCAATCACGACTTTGCACCTTTTCCTTCCTTCCTTCCTTCCTTCCTTCCTTCCTTCCCTCGCTCACTGCTTCCCCTTTTCCAGCACCGTCATTATTCATTACTCGTAGGCCTTAAATTTCCTCTTGCTAATCCTATAGTCATATTTCTAACTCTAATCGACTCGCAATGAGCGAACGTTCTTTCACTGCATGTTAGGATGACGTCACGAACGTGAGACTAGACAAATGTACAGACAAACGGCAGAGTAGTAACGTGGAACGAAAACAAAAACGTAAAGCTCTTGAGAAGCAGATCCCGTGAGTGAACGAATGAGGATGGTATGAGTGTCCGTGAAAGTACCCGTGAGAGAGAGAGAGAGAGTGAGTGAGAGAGAGGGGG